GCCCTCGGCTGCTCCTTGGCTGGTCCTTGACTGGCCCTTGGCTGGCCTTTGGCTGCTCCTTGGCTGCTCCTTGGCTGGTCCTTGACTGGCCCTCGGCTGGCCCTTGGCTGGTCCTTGGCTGCTCCTTGGCTGGTCCTTGACTGGCCCTCGGCTGGCCTTTGGCTGGTCCTTGGCTGCTCCTTGGCTGGTCCTTGACTGGTCCTTGGCTGGCCCTCGGCTGCTCCTTGGCTGGCCCTCGGCTGGTCCTTGACTGGCCCTTGGCTGGCCTTTGGCTGGTCCTTGGCTGGCCCTCGGCTGGTCTTTGGCTGGCCCTCGGCGTGTTTTTTTTTGCTGGTCCTTGGCTGGCCCTCGGCGTGTTTTTTTTTGCTGGTCCTTGGCTGGTCCTTGGCTGGCCCTCGGCTGGCCCTTGACTGGCCCTTGGCTGGCCCTTGACTGGCCCTCGGCTGGCCCTTGACTGGCCCTTGGCTGGCCCTTGGCTGCTCCTTGGCTGGCCCTTGACTGGCCCTTGGCTGGCCCTTGGCTGGCCCTCGGCTGGCCCTCGGCTGCTCCTTGGCTGCTCCTTGGCTGGTCTTTGACTGGCCCTTGGCTGGCCTTTGGCTGGCCCTTGGCTGGCCTTTGGCTGGTCCTTGGCTGGCCCTCGGCTGGTCTTTGACAGGCCCTCGGTTGGTCCTCGACTGGCCCTCGGCGTGTTTTTTTTTGCTGGTCCTTGGCTGGGCCTTGACTGGTCCTTGGCTGGGCCTTGGCTGGTCCTTGGCTGGTCCTTGGCTGGCCCTTGACTGGCCCTCGGCTGGTCTTTGGCTGGCCCTTGGCTGGCCCTCGGCTGGTCTTTGACAGGCCCTCGGTTGGTCCTCGACTGGCCCTCGGCGTGTTTTTTTTTTTGCTGGTCCTTGGCTGGCCCTCGGCTGGTCTTTGGCTGGCCCTCGGTTGGTCTTTGACTGGCCCTCGGCTTGTCTTTGGCTGGCCCTCGGCTGGTCTTTGGCTGGCCCTCGGCTGGTCTTTGACTGGCCCTCGGCTGGTCTTTGACTGGCCCTCGGCTGGTCTTTGACTGGCCCTCGGTTGGTCCTCGACTGGCCCTCGGTAGGGTTTTTTTTGCTGGTCCTTGGCTGGGCCTTGACTGGTCCTCGGTTGGTCCTCGACTGGCTCTCGGTAGGGTTTTTTTTGCTGGTCCTTGGCTGGTCCTTGGCTGGTCCTTGGCTGGCCCTCGGCTGGTCTTTGACTGGCCCTCGGCTGGTCCTTGGCTGGCCCTCGGTTGGTCTTTGACTGGCCCTCGGCTGGTCCTTGGCTGGTCCTTGGCTGGCCCTCGGCTGGTCTTTGGCTGGCCCTCGGCTGGTCCTCGGCTGGCCCTTGTTTGGCCCTTGGCTGGTCCTTCGCTGGCCCTCGGCTGGTCTTTGGCTGGCCCTCGGCTGGTC